TGTAGGCCTGAGGTAGAGCATACGTCAAAAATGCGACGTTCAATTAGGAGGACGGGTTTGAGGGATGAACTTGAGGCATTCTTCATATCTCAGGTGACATTCTGCAAATAATGAGCGATGGTGGCCTTCAGGAGTGACCTTTACGACTATAGTAATTGATGAAACAAAATGTGGAAGTTAGACAAGATTGGCCACTTATGCTTAGAGCAGTGTGGTTGGTCCGTCATTGTGTGTGGGGGGCGGGGGGGAAGGAGAGGGGAAGAAAGAGGGGGGGGGGAAGAAAGGAGAGGGGAAGGAATGTCTGCTTCAACCACCTGGTACAATAACAGCTCCGCCTTGGAACAAGCGAATGGCGTGAAGTAAGGCACACAGTAAGGTACACCAGCGGCGCCAACCAGCCAGCCCCGTCTGGCCCTTTGCCACTCCGTCAAAAAATCGGACTGTTTTGCTGAACCCGAAGCGTACCAACCCAAGCAACCCACCTAACCTCTCGAGGGTGGTACATAGAACACTTTGCTATTATTAATATGCTTAATTTTGTTAGTAATAGGTCATATTTTTAACGCAGTGGTCATATTAGTTAAGACTTGGGAAGGTAGACTCCTTCGTGTGACCCCGCGTGACCTGTTAAGACGTTGTTTAAGACGTGGGTTAATTAAAAGAGAGAGAGAGAGAGAGAGAGAGAGAGAGAGAGAGAGAGAGAGAGAGAGAGAGAGAGAGAGAGAGAGAGAGAGAGAGAGAGAGAGAGAGAGAGAGAGAGAGAGAGAGAGAGAGAGAGAGAGAGAGAGAGAGAGAGAGAGAGAGAGAGAGAGAGAGAGAGAGAGAGAGAGAGACAGACAGACAGACAGACAGACAGACAGACAGACAGAGACAGAGACAGAGAGACTTCATGGTCATGCTATGAACGACTTCGCTTCTCAGACAGAGGTCACGAGTTCGAATCCTGACCGTAGGGGAAACAAATTGATAGCGTTTCCTTTCACCTCATGACACTATTCTCCTATTTTCTGTTTCTGCGTCCTGGGAATGGTCATTAATTAACCATTATTTAAACGTACACACACACTTACACATAACCGGACACATGATACATACACTTACTCGCCCCGTGTGAAAAACCCGGGGAGGATTGACTGGGCACCAATCCATAACTGTTGACCCAGTCGAAATTGAGCCCCAGACGTAATACCAATTAGTGGATCGTGTTCCAGGGATAAGGCTTGCCATGAACAACGGGAAGGGAGAGACTCCTGTTAACTCCTGTTAACAGGAGTCACAACGCGTCTACTCCTGTGCAAAAACAAACAAAACGAAAAACAACAACAGACGTACGAAAACGAAAAAAAAACAGGAAAGAGAACGAAAATGTCCTCAGATAACCATATAAATTTTGTTAAAAGTGTAATAACCGAATGCTGGCACTAATAGGCGCAATGATCAGCTGCCACGATAGCAGCCATGGCACTCCCTGTACTTGGTGTGTCCATGGCACCTCAGTAGTGCCACGAACCATGGTTTTTTGGCACTCCAGACGACGATTTACACCATTAGTGTGTGGCAAATTGATGGAGCTTTATTTGTTTACATGAGTTTACCAGGCGTGGTGGAGGGGGTTTACCAGGCGTGGTGGAGGGGGTTTACCAGGTGTGGTGGTGGGGTTTACCAGACGTGGCGGAGGGTTTACCAGGCGTGGTGGAGGGAGTTTACCAGGCGTGGTGGAGGGGGTTTACCAGGCGTGGTGGAGGGGGTTTACCAGGCGTGGTGGAGGGGGTTTACCAGGCGTGGTGGTGGGGTTTACCAGGCGTGGTGGAGGAGGTTTACCAGGCGTGGTGGTGGGTTTACCAGGCGTGGTGGAGGGGGTTTACCAGGCGTGGTGGAGGGGGTTTACCAGGCGTGGTGGAGGGGGTTTACCAGGCGTGGTGGAGGGGGTTTACCAGGCGTGGAGGGGTTTACTAGGCGTGGTGGAGAGGGTTTACCAGGCGTGGTGGAGGGAGGTTTACCAGGCGTGGTGAAGGGGGTTTACCAGGCGTGGTGGAGGGGTTTACCAGGCGTGGTGGAGGGGGTTTACCAGGCGTGGTGGAGGGGGTTTACCAGGCGTGGTGGAGGGTTTACCAGGCGTGGTGGAGGAGGTTTACCAGGCGTGGTGGTGGGTTTACCAGGTGTGGTGCTGGGTTTACCAGGCGTGGTGGAGGGGGTTTACCAGGCGTGGTGGAGGGGGTTTACCAGGCGTGGAGGGGTTTACTAGGCGTGGTGGAGAGGGTTTACCAGGCGTGGTGGAGGGGGGTTTACCAGGCGTGGTGAAGGGGGTTTACCAGGCGTGGTGGAGGGGTTTACCAGGCGTGGTGAAGGGGGTTTACCAGGCGTGGTGGTGGGTTTACCAGGCGTGGTGGATGGTTTACCAGGCGTGGTGGAGGGGGTTTACCAGGAGTGGTGGAGGGTTTACCAGGCGTGGTGGAGAGTTTACCAGGCGTGGTGGAGAGTTTACCAGGCGTGGTGGAGGGAGTTTACCAGGCGTGGTGGAGGGTTTACCAGGCGTGGTGGTGGGTTAACTGTGACTTTTATTCTCGGATGATACATCATTGTTTGTGTGTGTGTACTCACCTAGTTGTGCTTGCGGGGGTTGAGCTCTGGGTCTTTGGTCCCGCCTCTCAACTGTCAATCAACTGGTGTACAGATTTCTGAGCCTACTGGGCTCTATCATATCTACCTGCGTGATGGAGTTCTGGGAGTTCTTCTACTCCGCAAGCCCGGCCTGAGGATAGGCTTGACTGGTGAGAGTTTGGTCCACCAGGCTGTTGCTTGGAGCGGCCCGCAGGCCCACATACCCACTACAGCCCGGCTGGTCCGGCACTTTTTTTAGAAAACAGTCCAGTTTTCTCTTGAAGATGTCCACGGTTGTTCCGGCAATATTTCTTACAGTCGCTGGGAGGACGTTGAACAACCTCGGACCTCTGATGTTTATACAGTGTTCTCTGATTGTGCCCATGGCACCTCTGCTCTTCTCTGGTTCTATTCTGCATTTTCTTCCATATCGTTCACTCCAGTACGTTGTTATTTTACTGTGTAGATTTGGGACCTGGCCCTCCAGTATTTTCCATGTGTATATTATTTGGTATCTCTCTCGTGTCCTTTCTAATGAGTACATTTGAAACTGTGTATGGAGTCAGCCTTCACCACTTCCTAGTGCATTCCATTTACTAACTGCTCTGACACTGAACAAGTTCTTTCTAATGTCTCTGTGTCTCATTTGGGTACTCAGCTTCCACCTGTGTCCCTTTGTGTGTGTACCACCCGTGTTAAATAATCCATCCTTGTCTACCCCCGTCAATATCCGTACGGGACAGAAGTGGTTAAGCACGTTTCATTTCAACTAATGTCTCTGTTCACCTTGCAATAAATAGGTACCCGGGAGTTAGCGCAACTGCTGTGGGGTCGAATCCTAGGGAAGGTCCGACCATGAGGGAGGCTGTCTTGAGGTTATCTTGAGATGATTTCGGGGCTTTTTTTAGTGTCCCCGCGGCCCGGTCCTCGACCAGGCCTCCACACCCAGGAAGCAGCCCGTGACAGCTGACTAACACCCAGGTACCTATTTTACTGCTAGGTAACAGGGGCATAGGGTGAAAGAAACTCTGCCCATTGTTTCTCGCCGACGCCTGGGATCGAACCCAGGACCACAGGATCACAAGTCCAGCGTGCTGTCCGCTCGGCCGACCGGCTCTGATACTGCAGTACCTGCCTAATGTTTTTAAGGCTTGCTGTCTCCCGAAAAAAAGAGTGAATTAATTATTATAACACCAAGAGACAGCTAATTCTTGCCCCGAGACTAACCCAGACCTCCGTAGATTGCCACTTATATATGTGGGTGGCCTTCAGTGCCAGTGTGGAGAGTGGGCCTCTTAAGGAAGTGTTCCGGGAAGCTCTGAGAACATCCATTCGTGCCAGACAAGTAGTGGGTCCGGCCAGAGACTCTTACCATCCCATATTTCAAGGATCCTGCCATACGTTCATTAAGTCGAGGGCCATCCAGGAGTCGTGCGGATGTGGGGTTCCAGGGAAGTTCCTGGACTCACATGTGGCCGTTCATGTTGACCTCATATCCTTTGGCTCCTAAAATTTGTCTTCCTTATTGAGCCATCGCTGCAACTTATAGAGCAACTTTACCCACTCAAGTGCTATGTCTGGTTATAAGTTTCTGTTTCTCGATCTGAAAAGTTCCCTTCGTCTCAGTCAAGTTTTTTTTTAGATCTTAGTTCTATGCTTCATGCGAACAGTCTCAGATACCAATCTCTCCCCCCCCCGTCCCATCCCTAATCCTTATCCTGACCCCTTCCAAGAGCTAGACATCTTAATAGCTTAGCGCTCTCGCCTGATAGTTCCTTTCCCCCATATTTTCCTCCATGACTCAACAAAATTCCTGTGAAATATCCTCCCCCCCCCCCCTCCCCATAGATTTCCGTCTCATGGTCCATTCCCATTCGTCCAGACCAGATGTCTCCTAACATCGCTCATTTCTGGCCGACCCCCCATCCAGCTCGCGACCATTCAGACCGTTCAATCAGAACATTTAGGGAAGTTTTCGAACAATAACGAGAGGTTTTCTCCCCCTTCCGGAGGTAAGCATCTTAGTTGTGTGTGTCTCCTATGGCATCAAATATTCATATCTCTGGAGAAAGTCGGTCCACCATCCAGCAGTATCACCAAATTTCCAGTTTATCTTTCCTGGAAGGTCCCTGGAAGGTCCCTGGAAGGTCTTCCTGGAAGCTTGGCTCGTTCTTGAGGCCTCAGGGGAAGGATATCCAGATGTCTTCAGTCACAGAATTGGTCGAAAAGCAAGATATTCAGATTCTATTCATTTTCTTGTGGCTTGGAAAACCCCCAATGGCCAACATGGAATTTTAGTTCTGAAGTTGAGTGTAGATTTTTTTTTTATATATTCGATAAAGTTTTTGGAATCATCTTTATATGATATCTTTCGTATATATCATTACGGCGTGCATCAGCTAGTGACCTGGCTTGGTGACCTGGAGTGGCTTGGTGACCCGGAGTGGCTTGGTGACCTGGAGTGGCTTGGTGAGTTGGAGTGGCTTGGTGACCCAGAGTGGCTTGGTGATCTGGAGTGGCTTGGTGACCCGGAGTGGCTTAGTGACCCCGAGTGGCTTGGTGACCTGGAGTGACTTGGTGACCTGGAGTGGCTTGGTGAGTTGGAGTGGCTTGGTGACCCAGAGTGGCTTAGTGACCCCGAGTGGCTTGGTGATCTGGAGTGGCTTGGTGACCCGGAGTGACTTAGTGACCCCGAGTGGCTTGGTGACCCCGAGTGGCTTGGTGACCCAGAGTGGCTTGGTGAGCCGGAGTGGCTTGGTGACCCGGAGTGGCTTGGTGACCCAGAGTGGCTTGGTGAGCCGGAGTGGCTTGGTGACCCGGAGTGGCTTGGTGACCCGGAGTGGCTTGGTGACCCAGTGGCTTAGTGACCCCGAGTGGCTTGGTGATCTGGAGTGGCTTGGTGACCCGGAGTGGCTTAGTGACCCCGAGTGGCTTGGTGACCTGGAGTGGCTTGGTGACCCAGAGTGGCTTGGTGAGCCGGAGTGGCTTGGTGACCCGGAGTGGCTTGGTGACCCAGAGTGGCTTGGTGAGCCGGAGTGGCTTGGTGACCCGGAGTGGCTTGGTGACCCAGAGTGGCTTGGTGAGCCGGAGTGGCTTGGTGACCCGGAGTGGCTTGGTGACCCGGAGTGGCTTGGTGACCCAGAGTGGCTTGGTGAGCCGGAGTGGCTTGGTGACCCGGAGTGGCTTGGTGACCCGGAGTGGCTTGGTAGTCCAATATGCATAATGACATAGACTGGTGATCCGTCTTGATATCTCGATAGTGCTTGGTGATATGCTTGGATTTGGTGACAAGGTTGGACTTGGTGACAGGGTTAGACTTGATGATATGGTTGGACTTGGTGATATGGTTGGACTTGGTGACAAGGTTGGACTTGGTGACAAGGTTGTAATTGGTGACAAGGTTGGACTTGGTGACATGGTTGGAGTTGGTGACAAGGTTGGACTTGCTGACAAGGTTGTACTTGCTGACAAGGCTGGACTTGGTGATGTGGTATAACTTGGTGACAAGGTTGGACTTGGTGATGTGGTATAACTTGGTGACAAGGTTGGACTTAGTGACAAGGTTGGACTTGGTGATGTGGTATAACTTGGTGACAAGGTTGGACTTAGTGACAAGGTTGGACTTGGTGATGTGGTATAACTTGCTGACAAGGCTGGACTTGGTGATGTGGTATAACTTGGTGACAAGGTTGGACTTGGTGATGTGGTATAACTTGGTGACTGCTAGGCTTCGTTACCTGAGCGTGGTAACGTGTAGCCAGGACCAGGAGGGAGGACGCACCTGGTGACATTCACCAGGTCGCTGCAGCATTCATACTGTGACTTATAATTCAGACGCAACCGCCAGAGTGGTGAACGGTCAGTGGTGACCTTAGCTTGCGTCGCCACTCTTCCCTTACGTCACCTGGCCCCCTATACACCTGCGTTACCTGGCCTCCTATACACCTGGGCCCCCATACACCTGCGTCACCTGGGCCCCCTATTCACCTGGCCTCCTATATGCCTGCGTCACCTGGTCCCTATACACCTGCGTCACCTGGCCTCCAATACACCTGCGTCACCTGGGCCCCCTATACACCTGGGCCCCCATACACCTGCGTCACCTGGGCCCCCATACACCTGCGTCACCTGGGCCCCCTATTCACCTGGCCTCCTATATGCCTGCGTCACCTGGTCCCCTATACACCTGCGTCACCTGGCCCCCTATACACCTGCGTCACCTGGGCCCCCTATACACCTGGGCCCCCATACACCTGCGTCACCTGGGCCCCCTATTCACCTGGCCTCCTATATGCCTGCGTCACCTGGTCCCTATACACCTGCGTCACCTGGCCTCCTATACACCTGTGTCACCTGGGCCCCCTATACACCTGGGCCCCCATACACCTGCGTCACCTGGGCCCCCTATTCACCTGGCCTCCTATATGCCTGCGTCACCTGGTCCCTATACACCTGCGTCACCTGGCCTCCTATACACCTGTGTCACCTGGTCCCTATACACCTGCGTCACCTGGCCTCCTATACACCTGCGTCACCTGGGTCTCTATACACCTGCGTCACCTGGCCTCCTATACACCTGCGTCACCTGGCCACCTATACACCTGCGTCACCTGGGCCTCCTATACACTTGCGTCACCTGGTCCCTATACACCTGCGTCACCTGGCCTCCTATACACCTGCGTCATCTGGCCTCCCATACACCTGCGTCACCTGGCCTCCTATACACCTGCGTCACCTGGCCTCCTATACACCTGCGTCACCTGGCCTCCCATACACTTGCGTCACCTGGCCTCCTATACACCTGCGTCACCTGGCCTCCTATACACCTGCGTCACCTGGCCACCTATACACCTGCGTCACCTGGGCCTCCTATACACCTGCGTCACCTGGGCCCCCATACACCTGCGTCACCCTGGCCCCCATACACCTGCGTCACCTGGCCACCTATACACCTGCGTCACCTGGGCCTCCTATACACCTGCGTCACCTGGGCCCCCATACACCTGCGTCACCCTGGCCCCCATACACCTGCGTCACCTGGCCTCCTATACACCTGGCCTCCTATACACCTGCGTCACCTGGGCCCCCATACACCTGCGTCACCTGGGCCCCCATACACCTGCGTCACCTGGCCCCCTATACACCTGCGTCACCTGGCCTCCTATACACCTGCGTCACCTGGCCTCCTATACACCTGCGTCACCTGGCCTCCATACACTTGCCTCACCTGGCCTCCTATACACCTGTGTCACCTGGTCCCTATACACCTGCGTCACCTGGCCTCCTATACACCTGCGTCACCTGGGCCCCCATACACCTGCGTCACCTGGGCCCCCATACACCTGCGTCACCTGGCCTCCTATACACCTGCGTCACCTGGCCTCCTATACACCTGCGTCACCTGGCCTCCTATACACCTGCATCACCTGGCCTCCATACACTTGCCTCACCTGGCCTCCTATACACCTGTGTCACCTGGTCCCTATACACCTGCGTCACCTGGCCTCCTATACACCTGCGTCACCTGGGCCCCCATACACCTGCGTCACCTGGGCCCCCATACACCTGCGTCACCTGGCCTCCTATACACCTGCGTCACCTGGCCTCCTATACACCTGCGTCACCTGGCCTCCTATACACCTGCGTCACCTGGCCTCCTATACACCTGCGTCACCTGGGCCCCCATACACCTGCGTCACCTGGGCCCCCATACACCTGCGTCACCTGGCCTCCTATACACCTGCGTCACCTGGTCTCAGGATCTAGGTAGCATTTGGACGTTCGTGTTCGTATCTGTGCGTGCAGGAGGACTGACTGTCAGGCTTCACCAGTGTGGGACTTGACGGGTAAAAGTCCAGGACTGGTGGACGTGGTCGTGGACAGCTTCGTGGTGTTCCAGGACTGTCTGGTGCTGCCTGGTGCTGCGTGCCTCACTGAGGGCAGCATGCTTCACTATGTGAGAGTCATAGCTGCGTGTGTTTGTCAACTTTACACCTCTTCCACTTCCATCCCACCTCTCTCATCTTCCTCCCCACCTCCCCATCTTCCTCCCCACCTCCCCCATCTTCCTCCCCACCTCCCCATCTTCCTCCCCACCTCCCCATCTTCTTCCCCACCGTCTTCCCCATAGCCCTCTCTACCCTTATAACATTTGCTTCTCCTCGGAAATAAGGTCAACTTTGTCCACTTAAGGTTTATATAAACCCTTTCCAGTCAGTCAGTCACCCAGTCAGCTAACCAGGCAGCCACTCAGCCAGCCAGCCAGCCAGCCAGCCAACCACTCAGCCACTCAGCCAAACAAAAAGTCAGCCAAACAAAGTTGACCAACTCCCTCAACAATTCCGTCAAGCGTCTCTCTCTTGGACACATCTGTCATTGATGTGAGCGTCCAGTGAGCAATTATTGATGGTAGGTGGGGGGAAGGGGGGGTGTAGAATAGTGGTAGGTGGGGGTGGAAGATAGTGGTAGGTGGAAGTAGAGGGTAGTGGAAGCTGCGAGTAAGTACTACTCCACCACCATCACTACCACCACCACCACCACCACCACCACCATCACTACCACCACCACCACCACCACCACTACCACCACCACCACCACTCCCACTGTAACAACCCATAAGATTATCACCTCTCTAAGTCATCCCCAACCACTTGGGTTGGACGGTAGAGCGTCGGTCTCGCTTCATGCAGGTCGGCGTTCAATCCCCGACTGTCTAAGTGGTTGAGCACTGTTCCTTCCCTCCCGTCCCATTCCAGATCCTGACCCCTTCCCAGTGCTATATAGCCGCAATGGCTTGGCACTTTCCCCCTGATAATTCCCTCCCTTCCCTCTCTAAGTCAACCAACACCACCTTGAAGACTCTCCGATAACACCCTACAGGTAATGTTATCACCCTACCGTCCACAGTGCCCAGTTATCACTGCTAGTGATAACTGGGCACTGTTGGTTATCAGTAGAAGTTATCACTGCTACTGATAATTGGGCACCATCATTATTTATTAAGCTTCTCAAATGATATAATAAGCTTTAAGAAAACCTTACGACAGTTTAGTTCCAACTTTCTTGGAGCGTTGAGGACTCGTGAGGCGGCTGTCTCGTTATCTGCTACGGGGTTAGCACTTTATTACCTGGAAATTAATTGATGTTAAATTCAAGTGCCAAGTTTTTTAAACTAGGTGATTACAAGGCCACCTGGCACACACTAAGTGCCAGGCTAGGGCCCGGCCGGGGTCATATTTTGAACCATTTTTGTTATGGAATCGCCTGAAATAATTAATTTTTAAATCTTGCGTAGTACTCCAACACGTCATATGACGTGATGCGCAGTTGATTGGAACAACGTCCAACACGTCATATGACGTGATGCGCACTTTAAGGGTTAAACTCATTCTCTGCGAATTTATTTTGTGTATTATGGAGGATTCCCTCAAGGGTTTAAATACATCAGACGGGTGTCTGTGGGACAGGGAGACTGGGACGGGGTCAGTTGTCACGCTTTCTGTCCCACCTGTTCCCTTGGGGGGGTTAGGCTTGGGGGACCCGTCAAAGATATCACAGGGTCTTGAAGCCAGGATATCAGTTTAAGCTTAATGACCAATTTCCCAATTTATGACACTGAGAAATGCAAGAATTAAACCTTTGTTTAAATTTCTTTGAAGCTTAGGACACACATATATATTTAAGCTTTGGTAATTAAATTTGCACGCGTAAGCAAGTTGCTGGTGGCAACCATGAAGACGTAACGAGCATAGTTATTATATTATTATAAAGAGCATAGTTCACTTCCTTATTATACAGGACCACTACCACCACCACCCCTCTCCCGCCCCCACCCCTCGACCTCAACACCACCACCACCACAACCACCACCACCACCACCACCACAACCACAACCACAACCACCACCACCACAACCACAACAACCATCAATCACCACAACTATAAAACTCCCCAAATTGTCACATTTCTTCCATTTAGCGTGAGAGTGTCCAGAGTAACGAGGCTTCCGTGTGTGTTATCGCCGGTCACCTGATGTATACTTTTGGGGCCCGTGTGTACACTCTTGGGGCCCGTGTGTGTACACTCTTGGGGCCCGTGTGTACACTCTTGGGGCCCGTGTGTGTACACTCTTGGGGCCCGTGTGTGTACACTCTTGGGGCCCGTGTGTGTACACTCTTGGGGCCCGTGTGTACACTCCTGGGGTCCGTGTGTACACTCCTGG